CAGGACCGGGCTACCAAGTTCACATTGGTAGCGGAGCCCGGCCTGTCGTTATCTAGTGGGGTGATAGATAACGGAAACAGGGGAAATAGCAAGGTAGGTAGCCCACCGTAGTCGGTGCCATGGCCAGTACGGGAGATGAGGGTCCCACTGCAGCGGGCGGCAGCGCAGCAGGGTACGGTCATCTTCCGTGGCAACAAATCCCAAAGTTTGTGCCAGGCACGACGAACCTTGATGATTATACCCAGCGCTTGAAGTTCCTCAAGGAGTTATGGCCAGCCGATAGCATTCAGCATTTGGGTCCACGGGCGGCTCTTCAAGTGGAGGGCTCAGCTTTCCAGAAGATCAGCAGGATTGCTCCGGAGAAGCTTCGCAGTGAAGAAGGAGTCAAGCTCATCGTGGAGGCCCTTGGGGGAGCATGGGGCAAAACTGCGGTTGAGGAGAAGTTTCACTTCTTCGAGCAGGCGATCTTTCAGGTGTCCCAGAAAAATGACGAAACCAACGATTCCTATCTAGCACGCCATGATGCTTTCTTTGAAGAACTACTTGCGCGCAAAGTCACCATAGAGGAAGTGCGCGCCTACGTTTTGCTACGTCACAGCCAACTCGCCCCAGAAGATAAGAAGAGGGTGGTCATCGAGTCCGAGGGCAACCTCAAGTACAAAGAGACAGTCAAAGCGATCAGATTGTTGGGCTCCAAAATTTTTGGAGATCTTCAGAACAAGAGTGCCACAGGAAGCCGAGGCTTGGAACGGAACAAGGTCTACGACGTGCACTACACGGAGGAAAGTGGAGCCGAGGATGTCTATTACAGCGCTGTGTCCGAGGAGGAACCGAACGACGAGGACCTCCTTTGCTACTTCCTGGACATCAACGATGAGGACGCTATCTACATCACCGAGTTTGAGGACAGCATCGTGGATGCCATCCAGGACAGCGAGCTGGCGCCAGTGTATGTGACATACCAGGAGGCTCGACAAAGGCTTCGTGAGAAAGCAAAAGCACGTGGATATTGGCCCGCCAAGGGCCGCGGAAAGACGAAAGGATCCGGAAAGAAAGGCAAAGGAACTTCATCGTCTTCAGTTCCGGGGTGGGGCACAGGTCGCAACCGGTCTCTCGCGGACCGCATTGCGAATTCCACCTGTCGCATTTGCCACCAGAAGGGCCACTGGAAGCGGGAGTGTCCCCGCAGAGTGGGCCAGGAGGGCAATGAATCCAAGGTGGAGGTGACCCACTTTACCCAAGAGACCTCGGACCTCTACGCCCAGAACCTCCCAGAGATTCTCCACACCGTGCCACCGGAGTCCGAGCCCTACTTTGGAGAAGAGGACAGACAGGAAGCCAGACGGATCTGTGTGCCAGGGGTTGAGAGGATCGCACGAATTCATTCTTCATTCTCTCCATGTCTTGCGGCTATTGTGCCTAAAGGGGATTTTGGCCAGTCTTGGAAAGAGAATCTTGCACAAAAGTTGTTAATGCTTGCCAGGAAACATAGACGATGCACCGCGGCGACATCCAGGCAGAGACTCACTCCGAGAATTTTGACAGAAGCGGCAGAGACAACAGT